AGGACCTGGCTGTGTGGGACTGGGGCCGGGGCGGGGGGATGCTCTGTGCCCGGGGGCAGGCGGTGCAGGCTGCCCGGCCCCATCCTTGGCCTCGGCCTGGGCTGAGCAGAGGATGCTGCTGCCCGGGGGACCCGCGGAAGAGGAGGCAGCGGCTGCCCCCGGGGGCCACGGGGTGAGTCTGTGCCCGGCTGGAGCGGGGCACTGCCCGGGAGCCGTACCGGGATGCTGGGGCCAGGGGCTGTGCCCCCTCCCCACCAGACCTTGCTAGCATGCTGGGCAGGGGGAAAGCCTGGGGTCTGCCTGCCCACCGCCCACAGGGCAATGCTGTGTGCTGCCCATAACAAGGGCTGATGCCTGAGTGTGCCCTTGGCACACATGGCAGGCCGTGTCGGGAGTCCCCGTGGCGTCAGGACCATGCCCTGTTGCACATGTACAGCGCCCGGCGCGGTGACACCCGGCTCCGCGGCTCAGATTCCTCTGGAGCGTGGCGGCAGGTGGGGCTGTGCCTGCTTCGCCCTGCCTGGGGGGTGTGCCGGCCAGCCTGCTGCCCTACATGTGCCTTGGGCACCTGGGAATCCCCTCTGTGGGGCAGGAGAGCCGCCCCCCACACCAGGCCAGTCATCCTTAGGCTTCAGAGTCAACGCCCCGTGGCAGTAAGGGGGGAAGGCTCAGCCCTGGTTCTAACGTGCCCGTGGCGGTGGCCTCTGGGTGCTGTGGCCCAGCGCCAGCTGTTCCCTTCCATGGCTTGGAGGGGAGCCAGGAGGTCCCCGAAATGCCGCCGGCCTCCCCAGGGCATGTGGGCACCCGCCTCTGTGACTCCAGGACAGCGCAGCTCCCGGCACGTGGCCCCGGGGCACATTGAACATGCATGAAAGGAGGCGCTGCTGCCTCCGCGTGTGCACATACCAAGCACACATGTGCCAGCCGTGCCAGCGTGCCAGGCTGGACCGGGGGCATCGAACCCGGGGCCCTCGGGCTGGGCATGTCCGTGCCCCTGGTGATGGGAGGACGCCCCGTGCCTGCCCCGCACTGCCTGGAGCCGCCTGTTCCCCCTGTAACGAGAAGCCGTGATTACCGAGCTGCAGCCCCTGGCGCTGAGGGCCTCCCCCACCCCTTAGGTGACGCTGCCTGGGAAGAGCATCTCAGGGGTGGTGGGGGGCAAGGACCCCCATCTGGGGGGTGGGAGGGTGCTCTGTACCCCTGCCCCTTGGCACCCATATGGGGCATGTGCCCCCCATCCACCCAGCCCAGCCCCAGCATCCTTCCTCCTGCCTGGGAGGCAGCAGCGCCTGATTGGTCAGTGGGACCTGTGGGTCCAAGCGTTGCCATGCCAACCGGAGAGGGGTGGCACAGGGTCTCGGCGGGCATCGCTCCCCTGGCAGCTGCCTGCCCAGGGCCTCGCGTGTGCTCTCCGGCTCCTCCAGCCCCTTGCAGCAGGCACAGACGCCTTCCTAGTGCCAGGCCTGGCCTCGCACCGATGCCCGGGGACCTTTGGCTCCGGAGGAGGAGGAAGATGCCGGTGCCCAGCGGGCACCTGAGCCGTGCCCTGAGCTCCTGGGGGGCCACGGGGTCCTGCCCCGGCGCCCTGGACCCCTGCGGGCCGCGCTGCAAGAGGCAGCTGGGCCGGGCCGTGCGTGGCTTGTACCGCTTCCTCACCGGGACCCTCTCCCCAGGTAGGCACCACCCTGGGTCTCCCGGCGGGCAGGGCTGGGGGCCACAGAGGAGGTGGGGAAAGCATGGGGGTCTCCTCATCCCGTGACTCTGGGTGCTGGGGCTTTCTCGGCACCCCCAGGCTCCGGGTTGGTCGCCCGCGGGTGGCCGCGGGTCCGGGCCCTGCCCAGTGCGGGCGTTAGCAGGATGCGGCCCCGGGGCAAGAGCCTCGCCTTCCATTACCCAGCGCAGCGGTGACTTCACCGCCCCAAAATAGCGCCTGGCCGGCTCTTCGCGCGCTGATTAATAACCCGCTCTGCGCGGGGGGGCTCGGCGCTGGCCTAAATTTATCTCTGTAATGGACGGGGCCCAGCGCGGGCACCCGATCAGTCAGCCCCGTGCCAAGGTTGCGCCTGCGACCCGGGGCGCTGGGCATCCCAGGCTCTCGTGCCGGATGCCGGAGGGTCCCCCCAGGGCTGCCCCGTGCCGGGGGGGCTGGGGGTGCTGCTGGCT